GTAACCAATTTAGCATTATCCAAAATAAGTATAGTATTGTTTTCTTTCTCTTGAGGCAGTAATAAATTTGAATGTAATTGAGAAATACAGAAGGCCTGACAAATTGTTAAGCTTTTTTTGTTAAAGTATAACGAAATTGTGAAATAACATATTGCCACTTTGCAACGATCACAAATCATCAACCTCCATGCGTGAGGGCAATTTTCGACTGGTTTGAGAGAACGATCAACTAAAACGCTGCAAGACCACCAGTGATCCACTAGGTTGTGCTGTTAATTGAATATGCGGGGACCGTCTTTATGAACAACACGAAACTCTGTAATTTTCGATTCGACGTTCCATTTAGCGATTAATTGAGTGTGTTAAACGGCTGTTAACAAGTCTTCCAGGATTTTGGAGCATAAACGACTATAGTAGGGAAGCACGTACTCCGTCCGATCAAATAGTGCAGCACCTGGCAGGTGTCTGAGTTCAAAGTCAATTCGCGAATGGAAGCGGTTTGAGCGAAGAAACCTCGGAATCCGCCAGAGTTGCTGAAGAAGAGGTTCGTTTTGTACCTATTTGCTACCCTCTCTGTTGCTGCCAACTTGTAAAGTAACTAAAAAAGCACTACTGACTGTAAGGTGCAGGAGACCAAAAGTCCTTACGATTTCAGAATTCGAAATGCACACATTTAATGCTCGGTAGACCTCTTTGCGCATTAAACTCGCCAATATGGACCAACTGTGATTCAGTATCAAATCAAAATCCAATGCTAAGATTCATCCTTAAACACTCTCTAACTATAAAACCATCTTAAATTTTTTTGCCACTTGCAGGGTACAATGATTTTACTTTTATTTCTGTTCATCGAGGATCCTAAATCCTCCACAACAAGACCTCTTGCTAATGTTCCAACTTCTTTGAATTAGGCAAAGCCTCAAAATGAACTCATTTCCATTCTTAATGGGAGCTTCAAAGCCCTCATCCGAACTCTACTGATCCCCATGCTTCAAAAGTAGCCCAAATACTGGAATCAAAACACATTAAAAAAGAAAGCAGGGTCCGTTAGCAGTCACTTAAGTTGGCAATCAGAAAAGGCCTTATTTACAGCAGCCTGAGGAAAGCATGACGCGTACCTTGAGGGCGTTGACCTTTGCAGGCCTGTACATCCTTTCATTGGGAACAAGAAGAACAGAGTAAATCTTCTCTACCATTTCGCGTTCATAGGCAAAGTGGAGAAGGGCATCACCGGGTGGTGCGTTGTTGAGGATGTGGGCGATGAGAATGATTACCTCTGCTATCTAAAGCCGGAGGAGGTAAGAGGCAAGATCATTGAGCGTCATTATGAGTGTAAGTGAGGTAAAGAACACGTTAGGTACCCAAAGACGATAAG